AGGTCACACAGACCTTGTGGTAGAGCTGGGTTTGACTCTCAGACCAAGGATACAGTCTCAGTCCAGAGTCCATATGCTTCACCATTCAGCTACACTGCATCCCTGTAATTGCGGTTATCCAGCAGCATTCGCAGTTCCCTCACCATTCCCTGGTGATGCCATCTACTACCATGGCTCCAAGTATTTACTCTTTGCGAATGACTCTACAACTATGAGTCTAGTTCTTATGGCTTCCTATGTTTCACAGCCACGGTTCAATTGTCTGCTAGATTTTTTCATAGGGCTATCCATTAAGCATATTGGTGTCAGTATGACCAAAATACAACCTACCTTCTTTTTCTATGCCTTTTGTGTTCCCTACTCTCACCAATCTCCCATCTGATCAACCATGGAACCATTTTAAATTCTGCCTTACTATTCCAGCAATCACCCAAAGCTAGGCCTTTTGTGCCATAAAGCCAAGTTGTGAATACAAAGGAAAAGTTCTTGAATTAAAAGTGCTACTCTAGTGAACACAGGAATGATAAGAAAGCAAACAGCCTAATGCTGATATGGACAAGTCTGAGTGGTCTGGATAGAAGGCCAAACCAGCCACAACATTCCCTTAAGCCAAAGCCTACTCCATAGCAAAATCCTAACTCTCTTCAATTCTGTGAATGCTGAGAGAGGTCAGGAAATTGCAGAAGAAAAGTTTGCAGAGGTGAGTCCATGAGGCGTAAGGAATGAAATCATCCCCTTAACATAAAAGTGCACAGAGAAGCAGCAAGTGCTATATGGAAGTTGTATCAAATTATCAAGAAGATCTAAGATAATTCATTAAGGTGGCTATAATAACAACTGATTTTCAATGTTGACAAAACAGCCTTTTTTTTGGGAAGAAGATGCCATCTAGGACTTTCATAGCCAGAGAGAAGACAATGCCCAGCTTAAGCTTCAAAGGGCAGGCTTGCTCTCTTGTTAGGGGTTAATGTTAGCTGGGGACTTTATGTTGGAGGCCAATGCTCATTTTTCATTCCAAAAGTCATAGGGCCTTTAAGAATTATGCTAAATTTACTCTGCTTGTGCTCTACAAGTAGAACAATAAAGCCTGAATTATGGCATATTTACAGTGTGGTTTACTAAATATTTTAAGCCCACTATAGAGACTTACTGCTCAGAAAAAAAAGATTACTGCAAAATATTACTGCTGATGGACAATGCACCTGGTTACCCAAGAGCTCTGATGGAGATGGACAAGGTGATCCATGTTGTTTCCATGTCTGCTAACATCCCTTCTGCAGCCCATGGATCATGGAGGTGCGATCTCGGCTCACTGCAACCTCCGCCTCCAGGGTTCAAATGATTCTCCTGCTTCAGCGTCCCGAACAACTAGAACTACAGGTACGTGCTACCATGTCTGTCTAATTTTTTGTATTTTTAGTAGAGATGGGGCTTCACGGTGTTAGCCAGGATGGTCTTGATCTCCTGACCTTGATCTCCTGATCCACCCACCTCGGCCTCTCAAAGTGCTAGGGTTACAGGTGTGAGCCACTGTACCCAGCCCATTTTGACTTCTAAGCAGAAAATGTATTCCTTTATTTAAGAAATACATTTTGCAAGACTATATCTGCCATAGGCAATGGTTACTCTGATAGATCTGGACAAAGCAAACTGAAAATCTTTTGGAAAGGATTCACCATTCTACATGCCATTAAGGACATGTGTGATTCATGGAGGAGGTAAAAATACCAAGATTAAGAATAGTTTGGAAGAAACTGATTCCAAACCTCATGGATGACTCTGAGGGTTCAAGACTTCAGTGGAGGAAGTCACTGCAGATATGGTAGAAATAGCAAGAGAACTAGAAGAACTAGAGTTAGAAGTGGAGCCTGAATATGGGACTGGATTGCTACAATCTCGTGATAAAACATTAACAGATGAGAAGTTGCTTCTTACAGATGAGAAAAGAAACTAGTGTCTTGCAATAGAATCTACTTCTGGTAAAGCTACTGTGCACACTGTTGAGATGACAACAAAGGATTCAGAATATTACATAAACTTAGTTGGTAAGCCGGTGGCAGGGTCTGGGAGAACTGGCTGCAATTTTGAAAGAAGGTCTACTCTGGGTAAAATGCTACCAAACAGCCTCACATTGCTACAAGGAAATCTTTCATGAAAGGAAGAGTCAATTTATCTGAAATTTGAAAATAAATTTTCTCACCCTAAGCAAACTTATCACAGCCCTATAGAAACGTTAAATATCAGCATTTCTTTCCATATTTTCTATCTTTCCTTCCTCCCACCACCCTCCTTTTTTTCTCCATATAAAATTAAAATAACAAAAAAAAACCACTTCTCTGGCTTTGAGATGTATGGCTGGAAAGTATATCTTAAAAAATTAAAATCCCAAAGGCAAGTTTTATCAGCATAGTGCTACTGACAAACTAGAGAGATAAGGCATGGTCACTGGAGGTTAAATAGCCTAGCCTTAAAGTCCTGCCATAGATAATGTAAATATACATTGATAATAATAACACAATGCACATAGCAAAATGGAACCAAGTGAAAATACAGTGTACAGCCCCTCTTCCCTCTTCCCTTTGTAGTACAATTCTTTTTTTTATTTGGGGGTAGGGAAGTGCATTTGGCTCAGAAGAAGGTTTTCAGTCTTTCTAGTTTGGGGCAGAGGGACCTTGAGAGGGGAAGGAGGCATCTAGACATATAGGCACCCCTGGATCTTGTGTAGCTGGACATCTTTTTCAAGGTAAGGGGGAAAATGATGAGACAAGAGCAAGACCTGTTGTTGTTGCTAGCTATGCTCAGACACACAAAAAATGTGTCAAGATGTTCTCGCTACAAGCATTTTGTTGGCCCATAATGACCCATGGATTCCAAAGCATATATATATACCTTTCCTCTAACTAGAACAACTGGCTTAACATGTTTCAGTAATTAGTCTCCTAAAAAGCCATTTGTATGACAAAGCAAAAATGTTTTAAGCAGCACAATGAGATTAGAAAGGCATGTTCTCTCCAAGAATAAAAGCAATGACAAATAAATAGTCTTTAAAAATAAAAAAAAAAACAAACATTATATTAAACTAATGAGCCAGAAAAAACACAATTCACAGAAGTCAATGAAATAAAGAACAAAAAAGATGAACATTAAGATACAGTAAAAGTTTGTTTTTTTTTTAAAGCATCTATGAAATATGTATAAACTCTTATAATGATCTCAAGTGCACAACTTCAAGATTAAGGTCTTCAAGACAGAAGTAAGCTTAGTATGTACACAGTGAAAATGTTTAGGTAACATATGGTATACTGTAGTAAAATTTAGTATCTCACAAACTTTAAACAAAAAAATCCTTATATTTTAACTACTATAGCATCTGTTGGGTGTAACCTCTCTTCAAAGTTCAACCATCGTTATTAATTAAAAATCACATCTGTAGCATAAATTTTTTTTGTACATAAAGGTTATAATAAACAGATTTATTTAATCTTCAAAATAATCATACGCTGATTTACTTATTAAAGGGTTGAACTAACCATATGTAATGAGATCATAAAAGTATGAGTGAAAATCTGCCTATTCTGAATCTCTCCAGAGAACATTAGCAACACCTCTAACAGGTATACTATTACATCTTTGGAAGTTTTAAGGAAAGTAATCAGTAAATTGTCTGCACAGTTCTTAATTATATAGATCTGATACTGACTGCCTTTCAAAGTTACACTTATTTATCACCATCTTTAAAAGAAATTCTTAAAAAGGATAGAGAAAAGACAAAAATAAATTAATTCTACAATAGGTTAGTAGCACTGGCATTAAAAAAAAATAAGGAAAAAAGCTGGGTAGACAGTAATACAACTGACTAAATGGAGTTCACAGTTATCTGTGGATTTCAGTTCTTAAGACTATTAGTAAAAATCAAGTACAAGCTAAACTTTGTAACCAAGTTGTCATGTTCCTAGAAATTTTCATTCCTTAAAGATAAGTCCTGAGAACCAACCTGGCTATCTCTTCTCGATGAGCAGTCCAATCTCGGATATAGTCTTCCTGCTCTTTAATCCGGTGCTTGAATGAAGAACTAGTAGGCATTGCTGATCCAGCGCTCTGCAAGCGAGTGGTTTTCAGGGCTGGAGAAGTACGTAGACGGGTATGTTTAGGGGAATTACGGTTTGATCCAAATTCATCTTCTGAGGTGGAAGCATAATCAGTAGGAAAGCGCCTCCATCTTGAATTTACTAAATTAGTTTAATTATTAAAAAAAGAATTATTATGTTATCATTTAAAGGAGGTAAAATAAAAGTCATGACTTCAAAACACCATGAGAGCGTACACACAGCACAATTTTCAATAACTGACATACACATACCTCACAAAAACCATAAATCTACTACTCCTTAGAGATAGAAACATTACACTTCGGTGAATTAAAAACAATGAATAATCAAAAACAATTGAAAGACCATGTTTTCCATAGTGTGGTGAATAAACATTCAGATGAAAAATTTCACTAATGATAAACAACTATGCAAGCTCTACCCATTGATGTCTAACTGGAGTGCTTTTCAATTGCAAATATTTCTGATTTGAGTGAAAATATGAATTTTTTTTTAAAAAAAAGACAGTAACAACATCAACGACAACAAAAATAAAAACAAGGGAAAAGATTTCCTCATGCCACATGGACTTTCAACATGGAGATGGTAAAAACTCTCTTTTCCCAACATACAATTGTGCATAATTCCAGCTGTGGAAATTATGCCTTTATGGCAGAAAAAAAAAAAAAAAACATTACCTCTGTCATTCAACATCCTGTTATGCTATGGTTGGAAAAAATCTTTTTACATGGTAAAAACACAACAAAGCATCTTCAGTACAACTCTCTGCTGCTTTGACACTGAAAGCATATGGTGAAAATAGACAATCTACAAAAAGCGAAACTCTGCAAGCTTTTGTCACAACCATTGACACTGAAGGCACAGGAGATACTGTGAAGAGTCACATTAAAGAAAGTGGTAATCACTTTCTTATTTACAGTTAGTAAAGACATTTAAAAATGATATTGCTGACACATTTAAAAAATCAAGACAAATTAATGCAGACACTTTACTACTGTTAATATGAGAATCAAACATACAAATAATTTGTGAAGCATAAATAGAGGTAAAAAAGGGAGATAATGGCTAATTCCTGGTAAACTTCGCAAGGGCAGGAACCATGTCTGTTTAATCCAATAATATATACCTAGCACTCAGCAAAGTGTTGGCTAGCAAATATTCAACAAATATTTTTGAAAGAAAATGTAAGAATTCTTGGATGTAAACATTTACTTTTCCGAAACCTAGTGAAAAGCATTAAATCTTGTTGTTTAAAGTGATAAAACTTTAGTATCTTTTTCCTTTTTAATAGAAACTGACCCTAGGCTACATAGATGAGTGAAATCCAGAATTCTTCCACCCTCCTCCACTCAAATTTTATACCTTTTATGTCTTTTCCTCCAAAAACTACATTTCTACCAGGGCTCTCTAAGGCTGAGGTGGCTCTCAGATAAAACTGGCATACATTGCCACCAGAACTGGCTTAAGAAAAACAGAGAATCCTATAATGAGAAATATGCCATAAATTTGAGCCTGCTGATTGATTTGTCCTTATTCACACTCCTATTTGGAGATTCTGATGTTTGGAACTAGATTCATAGGCATGAGACAATGAACATATGCAGAAGTTTATGGCTCTCTGTAAAAGTGTATGCAAATGCATACACTAGGTAATTAAGCATAGATTTTTTTTTTGAAGAGGAGCTTAAATATAACTTCTGATTTTAACATTGTAAAATAATTTATTAACATAGACAATACTTTTACCATGGTGAAAATGTACTCATTTCTAGATATATAAAAACTTTCATGAGTTGCAGTGATCCTGAGACTTGAAACCAATTTTAGGAAAAGTTTAGGAACAATACTAAAGAGGTCTAGAAAAATATTAGAAATACGGCAGACAAAATCAGTAGTAGTGTAAGCAAATCTGTACTTTTCAAAAAAGCATTTCATTAAATGCTAAATGGGTTTATTTTGCTCTCTTACAATATAGTTCACAAATAAGAAAAAATCATTTATTATATCAAATTTCCTGATTTTTTATTAGGAAACTATGGTCACCACACACAGGATTAGAAACTAGAAAGAAAAGAAATTAACAAAGAGCTTTAATAAATTGCAGAATATATGAAACTGTAATAAGTATGATAAAACTAAGACAGTTAATTCAGAGATAATTTAGAAAGAATGGCATCAATGGCTGACATATTTCATGGCAGACTACATGAAAGCAGAATGAGAAATTGAGTACCAAGTGCTAATAATATATGTTAAATGTCAGGTGACCACATATAAGTAGAGCCAGGCTAGAATTAACTTTTAATAGTCTGAGCTTAGGTTCAAAACACAATTATATTTTGAGGAAAAGAAAGTAAAAGAAAAACTTCTTTTACACAAACTTTCCATCTCTTGTCACAGGCCGGTCCACCTAGAAGTCTGTAAGAATAGTAAAGCTACTAACAATATCTTTTAAAGGCAATCAGGGGCCAGGCATGGTGGCTCACACCGTAATCCCAGCACTTTGGGAGACTGAGGTGGGTGGATCACAAGGTCAGGATATCAGGATCACCCTGGACAACATGGTGAAAACCCGTCTCTACTAAAAATACAAAAATCAGCTGCATCTCAAAAACAAAAACAACAATAAAAAAGCAATCAAAAGAATAAAGCATATTTTAAAAACTAAAAGGTAACATCTTTAGGTATGTTCTTTTAAAACTGAGACAAAAACTGGATAAAATAATTAGCGTATAGCATAGAAGTAAAAATATGACTAAAATCATTAAGAGCTCCCTTTGCCAGTGGAAAACATATCACACGTGGTGTGCTAAGAAAAGCTCCAGCTACCCCTGGACACACAGAGTCTGTGTAACAAAAGCAGCAGAGCGGAGACTGAGTGAAATGATGGCTACTGATGGAGAAGGGACTGGGAAAGAGTTCAATGGTAGGGCCTCTAACCTGTTATTTTTCTCAAAGAATTTATTTCAAAACTTTTTGCTTTCTTAACATTTGCTTCCAAACTACAGCAGCTATCCTTTTTATTTTTTCTAAAGAAAATTCCCTATCACCTGTTAATTAACACCAAAGAAACTTCAAGTTAAAATACTTAAAATTTCCCCTCAAATCTACTTATTTCATAGAATTTTAGAACAGAATGACCTTTGACAAGAGTCTAAATTCTTCCATTGACAGAGAAGAAATAGGCCCAGAGAGGTCTTACCTTGCTAAAATCAAAGTATAAGCCAGATCTATGGACTCCCAGAGTTCAAAACTCATTCTTTGAAATTCCAAGTGTTATACAAATTCTACATTTTTGTTTCCAGTAAGATTAAATTTTTTTTTTTTTTACACTCCAGCCTGGGATACAGAGTCTCCCTCTGTCACCCAGGCTGGAGTGCAGTGGTACCTTCTCGGCTCACTGCAACTTCTGCCTCCAGGGTTCAAGCAATTCTCCTGCCTCAGCCTCTGGAATAGCTGAAATTACAGGCACTGCCACCATGCCCAACTAATTTTTGTATTTTTAGTAGAGATGGGGTTTCACTATGTTGGCCAGGCTGGTCTTGAACTCCCTGGCTTCAAGTGATCTGCCCTCCTTGGCTTCCCAAAGTGCTAGGATTACAGGCATGAGCCGCCGTGTCCAGCCAAGTTGTTTTAAAAAGACATCCTAAATTTCTCATGTAATGATAGTTTTTCTGATGCCTATCTGTGCTGAAGAAAAACTTTCTTTCTTTCTCTTGAATTTTATTTGGCTTAAGTAACAATTTATAAAAATAAATTTGATTTTATTAGTATATTATTAGGCTCATTTGACAGGTTGGTATTAATAAGGCATTTAATGATAATAGATCATTAAATTGAAATTCATATTATAGGTGTTGGAAATGCCAATCTCTAAGAAACTTATTGGTTAGTAAAGGCCTAGACAGCATATATATTAAAATGAAAGTTCCAAGATGGGCTTAATTTATCTTGCAGCTAGAGCTACAGCATTCATTACAAAATTTATTTTCATTATAAAATGGGCAACATTCCTTCTTGTGTTGTAGTACTAACCTACTACATTCACTACAAAAACATACTAACATCCGTGATGTCTAGAGAATTAAAAATGAAAAAAAGAGTTGTATCATATTTCTGTGAGTGTTCCAATTTCTTTGTTGGCATTAAAACATACAAGTACAGATTTTGCACACACACTTCAGCAAACACACATTGCATCTTCATACTACATCAGAATATTTTAGTGGAAAATTACCACAAATATCTTTTGCATGTATATTTCTGAGCATTCAGCAATAAGATCACTTGGGGAAAAAAACTGACAATGCTCTGTTTTGGCCTTTAACCTGGAGAAAGAGTTAATTTAAGCAATGCATTTCCAACATTTAATTTCTACTGTCTATAAATTTTGAAGATCAGAATTAAAAAGGGAAAGCAAACAGTCTAAAAAAAATAAGGATATTAACAAATGTTTTTATTTTCTAAAATGTGCACTTAAAACACAATGAAAACCAAGTGTTTTATTTTGATGATTCAAGGTCTTTAAATTTAAATCTAGCTTGCAAAAATAAATCTGGATATTTCAGTTACAACTTGACACTAAAGAATCATTGAAGTAATTTTTTTTTGGGGGGGAACTAAACTCCTAGAAGCAAATTACATCAGAGAAACATAACTCTTCTCTTAATATTGCTAAATCTGAGATTTCCAATCTTCTGTTTTTATCACACATATTTCTTTAAAAACAAAAAACAACTTTTTTTTTTTTTTTTTTTTTTTTTTTTACATAGAGACAGGGTCTCACTGTGTCCCAGGCTGGAATGTAGTAGTGTGACCACAGCTCACTGCTGCAGACTTGAACTTCTGGGCTCAAGCAATCCTCCAACTTTGGCCTCCCCTAAAATACTGGGATTACAGGCATGAAACACAAACACTGTGCTGGCCTAAAAGTATTTTAAAGACACAATCTAAAATATGGAATTTGAAACATTACAGAACTATTTTTACATATCCAATTGGGACAATATCACAGGTGCTAGCTTCATATTTCCAAGGTCTCAAAAATTAATACTGTGCACAGCAACACTGATTAGCATGATTTAACATTCTTTTAAATCATGTTTCAAAAGATAAGATTTTTCTTTTCTTTTCCTATTCAAAATGTTATCATTATCTTAAACAGAAATGTCATAATATCAAAGGCACCTAAATTAGCAAAATCAAACAGGTATGTTTGTTTGTCTGTCTGACTACCTTCTCCATACAGCTATTATAGTATGTTTCCACTGAATGAAAGATCCTGACCACTGTCCAGATAAGATGTAATACTATGGGCATCTTGAGAGAATCTGAAAATACAACCCTAGATTACAATGTGGCTTTAAGCTCATAAGGTGGAATAAAGAATATAAACTGGGTAAAACATCAGAACTGCAAAGATTTTAGTAAACGATACCAAAACCTTTATATTGTATATTGACCTTGCATATGCACCTGATAATAATCCAGTAGATTCTGTCTTCTGGAAGCTTGCACACAAGTAAACACTAAATTATTTCTTAGAGCTAGAATAAATATGGTCGAAAAACAGGCTGGGCATGACAAAATTCTCATTCTGCACCTGCTACAGCCATGTGCACAAGGCAGGTTATTTCTTCTCTTGGCCTCAGTTCTCTCAAGGGAATAACCCTCCTAACTCTAAAATTCCATGATTCTAATTATTTAATATACTGCTATTAAGTATGAAAAGACCAAAATCATATACCTCAATTTGTCCTAGGGAATTTCATACACAATTCAAGGTTCTTTTTGGACACAGAAAATTGAACATTTATCAAGTTCTGTATTCAAAGCAGCAGAAATGAAATTTATCTTTATAATAGCAACTTGCAGTTGTTTCTTAGACTTGCTGAAGT